TTATAATTTTATTAACTCTATTTTTACAAGTCCCATATAATACATTAAAAATTTTGGGCTGCCCAAATAGAAGAGACCAGCTTTTCTTGCTCTTGTTAAAGATTGATGGGCCAAATCTTGATGCTCAAAAACAGTTGAAATTAACTGAACCAACATCAGAGTCATCAAAGCCTGAACCATGTAAGCATTCTCAAGAAAATGGAAGATTTACGAGTAGACATATACATCACACAAAAAAATTGTTGGTTTGACCAACTTTTAAACAATTATTTTAATGGGTCTCGTTGGTTGGACAAAAGATTTATTTGACAGAGTATGTTCTACTCCATGAGTAGATTAATTTAATGTATTTATTTTCTCAAAATCAATTTAGGGTGAATGAGAAATTATAAACAAAATATGACCATTTGAAGTTAAAATAAATTGGGAATAAAAATTGGTGGAAAATTGAAAAATAACAATCCTACACAGGAAAACTAGTAGAATATAAATCACTTTATATTGCTCAAATTTAGAACTTGGGTTTGGACTCTTAGGGGTAACAATAGTTTTTTGAATGGGAGAGAACATACATGCTAGTAGGCTAAGTCAAAGCCCAAGCACGTTGCCACCGCCGTCCAACGGGTCAGCACGGGTCATGGGTTTGGGCCAAGTTGGTATATATTTTTTGATAAAATAATATTTGGATAATATTTTTTTTATTTAAGATAATATATTTATTTATATTATTTATTTTCTTGAATTTTCTGTACACGACACGTGGCATCTTCTAGATACTAGCGGTTGACAGTTGAACTGTCGTCCAAATGGGTTGTGTCTGTTGAATACTCGTAAAATAATATTTGAATTATATTATTTTATTATTATTTAAAATAATATATTTAGTAATATTATTTATTTCTCAGAATTTTCTGTACGTGACATGTGATATTGCGCAAGATACTATTATTTCTATTTGCCAAGGAACAAAGAAGAGACTTTAAGCGCATTTAAGTAGTACAAGATTGATGTTGAGAATCAATTTAGTAAACGAAATTTTGCCAAGAAAAATTTCATTGATTATTTCCACCGGAGCCAAAACATGACATCACTCTCCTTCAGTGATCTTCTTTGACTTTAGCCTTCTTATGAGACTTGGCACTTGCGTGATGAAAATCAGACGCAAAAAATCAGCATTTGCCAAGCCATGACAGAGAGACATACGAGAATATCTAAACGAAATTTGACCAATAAAGTATATAAACTAGTTTATCAAGACATGTTCAAGCAAATAAAAAATACACACACATCTGAGCCCACATAGGAGCACGAAACACGAGAAATTACATAGCCCTTTCCAGCCTTGGATAAATCCTATGAAATAGAGGACTCACATAACACGAATGAGTGGTGAATAAATGGATAATACTTGTTGATCTCTCGAGATATGTTGATAAAAAGTGACTTGAGCATTTATAAATATGAGCCAAATATAGACTTATCTACTGTGAATTAAGTTTAGTTCGTCGTTGTGTAGTGCAATAAAAGGTGTATTTTAACCTCTGCTACTTTGAAGAAGATTAAGGCAACAATTGCCACATCTAGATTCTCGTTACAAGTTTTGTAAATGTGTCACTGGCCCACTGCTATGAAGGAATTGTCTACTTGTACATAATAATATATACATCAAGGTATCCACCATCTCACATGAGGGTGAGACCCACTTGAATAAAAAATATTATCTCCAAGTGGTCCCACTCTCATATGAGAGGGTGGATACCTTGATGTACATATTATTATGTACAAGTAGCAATGCTCCTGCTATGAATTCACTGACTCATAAACTGTGTATTATTTTCGATAATCTTCAAAATAAATGGTAGCATATAGAAGCACCAAGATTCTTCTATCGTGCCAAATTATCAACTAAGGCCATGAAATTTTCCAATCGTCTGACGGAGCTAATATCACGCATGACCCAAGAGAAATGTAGTCTTATAACGAAAAATGGGGCACACAGTTGTCTTTAGTACTGAAAACAATTGATAATGGATCATGCTATTTGTAAATTTCTTTTAAGACTAAGTTTGACATTGTGACACATGTCTCATCATGATTAGCTCATTTTTAAACATTGCACACTTTCCCGCCAACAACACTTTGAATTTTCAAGAAATATCAAACTTCATGTCACCCAAACAATGTACAAGTGACTTAATCCATTGATAACTGTAATAAACTGATCTTCCACGTAATTACTATGTGATTCTTAAACTATTCTTTATGAATCATTTTCGTAGCACGACGTGCATGACAACGCATCAAGTGCTTGCAATTGTGACTATTGGAGCAACTAACGTCACAATATGCTCATGCCCCTTGCTAATGGGTGGACATCGAGCCTTGTCGCTTGCGTGTTGTGTTGTTCAAGCGCGACATGTGTCATAACTTAGTATGTGTTGTAATTGTGATTGCTGCATGTTTAAAGCAACAACACTGGAAGCATGACATCACAATGCATTCTGATCCGACATAGAACAACGACGAGCTGATTTGCCGATCAACTCAAGGAATCAACCGGCACGAATTGAAACGGCAATCGAAGTCCAGGCATTAGATAACTCGAGAAAAAGTATGTGTACCTGCTATACACATACAACCTCCACACACCTGCTTTTATTAATATAGGGACCATCAAAGGAGAGAGGATTGCCTATTGTGAGCTGGTCCTACCCCATCTCTATTAAAGCATTGGTTTAATTTCTCTTTTAGTTTCAGCCACAAGGTACCTGACAACTCTTTTGCATATTGTATGAGAAATCCTACATGTACCACTTGATTTATAGAAATCACAGGTGACGAGATCTCAAACCATCTTTGACAAAAAAACACAGTTAATCAAATCGTTAAAATACGGCCATGTCATTATCTTTAAAGCCGTACAATTTATCTGTACAAACAGCTTTGTTGAACGGTATATCTTTTGTTTAGCCCACATTTTAATTATCTTATCTTCAACTATATTTCCACAAGTTTGAAATCCATCATAGAATCCCCCTTGGGAAAGGAAATATCACACCATCATAATTGATGTGTTATTCATATATTCATGTTTGGTAGTGATTAAAATTCAGATTTTAATCTAAATTAAAGTCAAAAATTAATTTTAACCACATATTTTATGGGTCCAACAACTTCTCATTCACACATTTCATCATTTTTTTTTATCAAAATTTACTAAAAATTCGATTTTAATTCCCACGAAATATGTCTTCTATTTCTATATATTGATCTCAATCTACTTTTATATTGCTTTGCCTCCCCAAGAACAAAGGATTTAGGCCTCATTTGGCATAGTTGTTAAAAAGTCAAATGTTATTCTTAAAATTAAGAAGTTGTTTTTGGACGACCATTTTTTTTTCATTCACTTTCTCATTTTTTTTCTCTTTTCTTCATTTCAACCACGCATTCTATCAATAAAATAATATTACACATTAATTCAAAAATTCTTCTTATTTTTTAACCACATATTCTTCTATCAATTACTATTTCAAATCAAATTCTACTCCGAAATGGGTGTCAAAACACATTAGCAAATACTTATTAAGAAGTACAGGAATGAGATTAAAGTAACATAAAATCAAAGAAAATGGGAAGATAATGTTGGTTTTAAAGTAGACTCCTTCCTAATAAAGTACAAAGGATCATGCTACATGTGCATTTTTTTTTACATTAAATTTGACATTGTGTCATATGTCGCATCATTATTAGCCAATTTTTAAACATTGCACACTTTCCCGCTAACAACACTTCGAATTTTCAAAGAAATGTCAAACTTCATGTCACCCAAACAATGTACAAGTGACTTAATCCATAATGATCATGTTACATGTACATTTTTTTTACACTAAGTTTTGCCAAACACGTCCTTAAATAACTCAATCATTTAAGGATCATGTGACTTGTACATTTTTTTTACACTAAGTGTGACATTGTGCCACATGTCGCATCATGATTAGCCAATTTTTAAACATGCACACTTTCTCGCCAATGACACTTTGAATTTTCAAAGAAATGTCAAACTTCATGTTACCCAAACAATGTACTATGTGATTCTTAAACGCCTGCTCTTAATCTTATTAAAATGAATTTTTAATGAGATTTCACGTTTGAAAAACGACTCTGGTGACATAGTACATTTGTCAGAAGTTCAATATTTTTAGGAGAATGCTGTTTGTACAGCATTTGTACACAACTTTGTGTATAGCCCACTCACATGGGGTGGGCCTCATCCATGTGAGTGGGTTGTACACAAAGCTGTGTACAAAGGCTGTAAGTGTAGTCTAACTCTTTTTTTTATAATATCGTTTAAAATTGAATGGACCATTACACCCTCATTATAATAATCCCATTTTCAGAATTACCCTTGCATTAATTATCCCTAATTGAGCCTCTGTTTAAACAACATTCTCATTCTTCTACTCATTTTCAATCATATATTCTTCTATAAAATAATATTTTGCATCACATCAATAGTTTTTTCTTCTTTTTTAACCATATATTCACAATCTTATCACGAAAAAATACATTATTTTCATTTTAATGTGCATCAAACTATTCAAACCCACTCTGAGTTTCCTTCTTTACCGTAGTTGAGGGTAAGATAGGAATGCTGCCACTTACCCTTGAAAAGTCAAATGAAAACAAGGAATTGCTCCACTTGACCGACACATCAATCAATGCGGGCCCACCATTGGAGGAAGGAAAAATGAGTTTTCTTGCATTTTAGTGGGGGGCTCAAGCAAGGACGAAAAACAATAGTAATGATATGATTACTACGCGTGATAGACAGTTGAGAATGTTGAAACTATTTTAAAGTTTGATGATCAAATTGAGATTTTACTGTAAGTTCAGTGACTACAGATGAAAATTACCCCAATTAGGGCTACTCTTTTATCCACTTAGGGCCAAAAGGCATTTGTAATCAATACTGCAACATTGATTAACTGTGAAGCACAGAAATGGCGTCGAACCAGCAAGTGAGGGCATCGCACATACTGATGAAGCACCAGGGATCCCGGCGCAAGGCCTCCTGGAAGGATCCCGACGGTCGCATCATCTCCAACACCACTAAGGAAGCCGCCATCACCCAGCTCAAAGCCCTCCGCGACGACATCCTCTCTGGAAAGTCCAGTTTCGATGAAGTTGCAACGCGCTTATCTGACTGTAGCTCCGCCAAACGTGGTGGTGATCTTGGTAAATCCCCTTACCTTCCGTTCGTTTTAGTTCACTGTATGATGTGGGTTTGGATCTTTTAAGCTTTTACTTTAATGGTTATTGAATTTTTCTGTTAACTTTGTTTAGCATTTATTCTTTAACAATTGTTCGGGTTATATTTTTTGCTTTAGTCGTTGGGTGAGAAAATCACTCTATAGAGAAAAAAGTCATAATGTAAAACGTATTTTCAAATTTATTGTCAGATCAGAGTGCAGTGATTACTGATTAGCAAGTTCTTGAAATTTTGGTATTTTCTTCTTAAGAAAAGTGAAAGTTCAACCAGATATCTACTTAATATGTAGGCGAGCAATTATAATAGAAGTGCAATCAGAACAGGGAGAAATGAATTATACAATGATTTATGCATATTGATGGAGTAAAATTGGGACAATGGTCAATAATAAATAACCTTATCTACTTGAAGTTTGCAAAGGATTGTGGAGTTGAACTTAAATCTGGCTAGTATAGCCTTTCTAGGATTCTAGTATTTGGGGGAAGTATGTGGGATCTGCCTTAGTCTCTTCCTACACAACTGTATCTGTGATGAACTTTCTCTTGTAAATATATATTCCTTGTTGAAGATTATGGTATCAATTTGACTATCCATGCAGATTATGGCACCATCCACCTTTAAGAAGCTGCTATACTAAACTCCTTTTTGATTGCTTTAAACTGATTCTCTTATTTTCTTTCGAAGTATGTGTGTACACACACGCACACAATTATAAGGAGCGTGGCATCTGTATAAACTTTTGTTTTTCATCTGTGTACTTCTCCTGCCTTGGAGACGAGGTTTTGTCGTTCATGAACAATACATTTCAGCTTAATCATTGAGTTCCTTGAAAATTGATAATACTTTCATTGGGTGAAACCCCTGAATGGTTTTGCTCCAAGAAAACCTTTCTAAAATTTCTGCTTTCATTAAGGTGTATGTCCTCCCTTTTTTTTTGGCTGTTTCTGCTCATTGGCAGCTTAATCCCCTGAAATAGCACGGCCTTGTTTGAGTCTACGCTTGGTAAGAGACGAGAAGGAAATTTATGCCATTTTTTGGAAGATGGTGCATGTGTGAACTTTGCTTCCCCAATTATCTGTCTTCTTATATGCCAGAGGACTTTTCATTTTTCCTAGTTCCAACATCTTTAAAAAATTTTATGTTTGGCTAATGCATAGGAAACTATGCCAAATATTAAAGTGGAAGTCTACTGTTTGAGGGTGACTTCGTCCAAGGTTTTGGTTCCTACTGAGTTGAGTAAAATGGAAAATTCCGTGAGTACAGTATATCTACTTAATATGTAGGCGAGCAATTATAATAGAAGTGCAATCAGAACAGGGAGAAATGAATTATACAATGATTTATGCATATTGATGGAGTAAAATTGGGACAATGGTCAATAATAAATAACCGTATCTACTTGAAGTTTGCAAAGGATTGTGGAGTTGAACTTAAATCTGGCTTGTATAGCCTTTCTAGGATTCTAGTATTTTGGGGGAAGTATGTGGGATCTGCCTTAGTCTCTTCCTACACAACTGTATCTGTGATGAACTTTCTCTTGTAAATATATATTCCTTGTTGAAGATTATGGTATCAATTTGACTATCCGTGCAGATCATGGCACCATCCACCTTTAAGAAGCTGCTATACTAAACTCCTTTTTGATTGCTTTAAACTGATTCTCCTATTTTCTTTCGAAGCATGTGTGTACACACTCGCACACAATTATAAGGAGCGTGGAATCTCTATAAACTTTTGTTTTTCATCTGTGTACTTCTCCTGCCTTGGAGACAAGAGGTTTTGTCGTTCATGAACAATACATTTCAGCTTAATCATTGAGTTCCTTGAAAATTGATAATACTTTCATTAGGTGAAACCCCTGAATGGTTTTGCTCCAAGAAAACCTTTCTAAAATTTCTGCTTTCATTAAGGTCTATGTCCCTTTTTTTGGCTGTTTCTGCTCATTGGCATCTTAATCCCCTGAAATAGCACGGCCTTGTTTGAGTCTACGCTTGGTAAGAGACGAGAAGGAAATTTATGCCATTTTTTGGAAGATGGTGCATGTGTGAACTTTGCTTCCCCAATTCTCTGTCTTCTTATATCCCAGAGGACTTTTCATTTTTCCAAGTTCCAACATCTTTAATATTTTTTATGTTTGGATAATGCATAGGAAACTATGCCAAATATTAAAGTGGAAGTCTACTGTTCGAGGGTGACTTCGTCCAAGGTTTTGGTTCCTACTGAGTTGAGTAAAATTCACCGCACTGTTTGCATTTTTGGATGAGCTCTTTTATGTGTTCTTTATCGTTAACATTTCTATACAGCTGCATTTTCACGTGTTCTCTAAATATGTTTACTTGTATTATATGGTGGTTCGGGATTTTTCTAATATGTCGAAGTTCTTGGTGGTATAGAACATAGTATGGTGATAAACAATAGTCGATCTATTTTTCTTGCAGGTCCTTTCGGTCGCGGTCAAATGCAGAAACCTTTTGAAGATGCAACATTTGCTTTGAAAATTGGTGAAATTAGTGACATCGTGGATACCGATAGCGGTGTTCACATAATAATGAGAACGGCTTGACGCTGACTCATTATAGAATAGTGAATTGAAGCATATCTTCTAACCGTCAAACTACAATCAGCCAAATTAAGGATTTTTGTACTTGTATTCTATTCAAATTTAGTCGTGTGGTCATGATCATGTTACTGTGTGCATCATCAAGTTCCTCATTTTGAACTTTGTATCACAATGTCTCGATGCTTGTATTCCGTCTTGTGGCAACTAATAATAATTATTTCATCGGGTTCGACTCATGAGGTGACATATTCTTGCTTGGTCCCATATGTTTGTTAGGCAACTGGCCTACCTTTTTTGTTTGGTCCATGGGTTTGAAATGCTACTGATTGATATGTTTACTTGTCTGGGATCTAATTCTTATCGCTTTGATTGCTTTAGCCGTGCGTGGAAAGCACGCAAGAATGTTCCTCATCTCGTAAACCTCTTTATATACTTTGAGGAATTCGTTCAAGAATGACCTAATTGGAGAGTCAAAATCATTTACCCCACGGTTTAGGTTCTGCTCGGCGCCCCAATCCTCCTTCTCCCTTGTTGCTTCCTCCTATTGTGCCCTGCAACCTTCGACTAGCTGCAGTACTTGTTTTGTAGCGTTTATAAATTGCGGGCATTACAAAATGAGCTGATAAAATGAATGTTTGATCTGTTTAAATTATAAATGTAGGGAGAAGGGGGGATTGATTCGGGTCGTTGCAAACTTTCTTTATGTATTATTCGGTCTTCCTTCTAGAAGTCTTTGTTTTTCGTCCTTGGTGCATTTTGTTAGTGACGTTTAGAATGAAAATAAATATCAAAATTCCAAAAGAGTGAAAAGGTCGTTTCCACATTAGAGGTTGGGGCCAGCACGTTTTAATTTGAATGACTTTAGCCGAAATCGAAGACTTGACTTCAAATCAACCATGAAACATGGCAGCATCTTCCATCCTAAAGACCTTATTCATGTGTAGCTCTCTCGAGCCAAAAAAATTTCGAACTTTAATACATTTCAGTTGCATCTAACGACCATTTTTATAGAGGTAGGAAAATCGATACACATATAACAATTGACATAAAAAAATTCGAAAAAATCTATGTCAAGTGATATAGGATGACATCAATAATTATTTGTGTACGCGGGTGACAATCTTGCAAACCGCGTACACGGCTGATTGTAACCGCGTAGGTGAGGACAACTTGATATGATGCGATCAATAATTATCTATGATGGACATTGAAGTAATGGTTACTTGATAT